TCCCACCACGTTCCCTTAGGTCAGCGGACCAGTTGCTCCTCACAGTTCCAGGAACTCGTCTTAAGCGCAGAGGGGACAGGGCCTTCTCTGTAGCAGGACCAAGACTTTGGAACGAGTTACCTCTGCTTGTCAGACAGGCCCCCTCCCTCTCGGTTTTCAAGTCCCGTTTAAAAACTCACTACTATTCAGCAGCTTTCAACACAAGATGATCTGTGTTTTGATCCTGTACGCTCCACACTGATTTGTCGTCATTATCTGCATCGTTTTTTTATCTATATTCTGATTTACCTCATTTTGTATTTTGCTTTGTGTGTTACCTGTTGTTTTGTCTGTACAGCACTTTGGTTGGCCTTGTTGCTGTTTTAAGTGCTTTATAAATAAAGTGGTATGGTATGGTAGGTAGTGACATTGAGATTGAATTATGATGATAAGGTAGATAGAAACTGTATCATACATGATACAGCCTAGTATTAGCCTACATAGTTGGGACCCTTTAGGTCCACAGCGACGCAAAAACTGTCAGTGGACAGGGACTCCGGTGTTCCAGCAGCTTCCAGCTCATGGCAGGCTTGAGTCTTGGTGCTTCCTGGTTTATTTAATCTTGAGCATCCTCACCAGTTGTCTTTCTTCTGATGGAGATGGTCATTGAAAGCAATGCTATGAAACTAACCCTTTTTATGAACTCTGGCTAAGAGAAATTAACAGCTGCAGTCAATCATGATCACTAAAGAGAAATATAAGCATTTGGTCTTGTCAAGTTAGAAGACATGGACCCTTCAGCACCACTTACTAAAAGATTTAGGGAGAGGTTTGTATAATTTTGTGTAGGGAAGCACAATAATATCGGCATTGTATCAGTATCGACAGATATTAGCAATTAAGTTAAATATCACCGATATAAAAGGCACTGTTAATACTGTATATCTGTTTTTGTATGACAACACAGTGACAAGGACACCTGCAGCGCCAGCACAACGTTATGATGTCACACGCGCCATTGAGTTTCGATTTGTGAAAATGTACAAATTTGCACTGTTCAAGTGTTGTCATTGTGTTAGAGAGAGTAAATATCATGAATAAATTTGACATTAAACATAATCCCAAGTTCAAGTGTTGTTACATTTTCAGACCCCTTCTTGGCATCTGCATTTGGTAGCAGGACAAATTGACAAAGACCACGCAGAATAATGTAGTAGTTTAATTCCACAGCAGAGACATTTACGTAGTCTCTGTAAGTAGGTCTAGGGAAACAAATATTGGTATTGGTATCGGATATCGGCCAGAAATCCAACGTGTGTCGTTCCATTTTAAGAAGGGGGAGCAGTTCAAATACATTATTTAAAGCCCAGAACTATTGACATGCATGCACAATGATGTATGCAAACTTTTGACTGTAACTGTAAGATATGGATTACAGTCATTTTAACAGCAAATGGTTATTGCATGTGCTATCATGCCATAACGTGTCTTCTTAAAGGGAAAAAAGAGGAAAATTGGCAGGGACTAAATAATAAATTATTTACTGTCTGAAATCTGTTTCCATGCCTGAGGATAAACTTTTTTTTCTCAGTCTGAATGTGCAAAAAGCTCCCTGCTTAATAATCATTTTAACATCGCAGCCAATATAAAAAACTATTTTTCAGAATTACAACGCTAATCCCCAATAAGTTGGGGCATTAATTAAAAGAATAAATGAAATCCGAATGCAGTGATTTGCAAACCTCATAAGCCTGTATGTCTTCACAGTGGAACATAGTAAACATCAAGTTTAAATGAAGGGTAACATTTTAAAAAAATAAGAATGGGCAGTTCTGAGACGTTTGGACAGGGTCATGAAGCATC